AGATCCTGACAAATCCAGCACATGAGGTGAGGCAGCAGCTACCACCAAGCCCACCACACTGCCAGGGCTGAGGAGCACCTCATGCCATGCTCCAGCCCTGCTCCAGCTGCGGGCACTCCACCAGTGCGGGGCACATGGCAGGAGTGTGCTTTGGGGCACAGTGCTGGGGCTCAGCCACCCAAGCCCCACATGTTGGGAAGTTGTTCCTTGTCCCGTTTCTGAGACGTGATTGGGCTTGACAGGCAGCACGGCTTTATGAACTGTGCTCGGCCCTTGCGTCATTTGCGTTATTGCAGCTGAAATCTCCTCCCAGCCCTCCCTCCTGCCTGCCCCCACAGGCACCAGTGGCTGCAACAGGCACCCACAAGCCCAAAGAGCAAAAGACAAGAGGATAAAAATACCCATGTAAGAAAAAGAAAATAAAAAGGGGGAAAAAAGCCCAAGGCACCATCTGGATTCAAAGGCTGGAGAGCAGAGAAGCACCAGGAAGGAAGGGAGCAAGAAGAGAGGTGCTGGCTTGCAGGTTCCGATTCTGTGTCTGCTCCCAGCACAGCCGGTCTCTGGAGCCACATCCCTGTTCTGTCTCAGCAGACTGGGCATTTACACAAACCTCTGTGGGTACCTCCAGCAGGCAATAGCTCACACATCCCTGTGGGGTGGGAAGGGCTGGAGCAGCTCACCCATCCCTGCCGTGTGAAGGGAACAAAAAGCAGCATGGAGGAAGGCAAGGGGGAACCTACCCCAGAGAGGATGAGAGGTCCCTGTTGCTGAACTGCCCCACTCTTCATCTTCCCTCTCACTTCAATTTTATCTTGCCTGGAGGCACAAAAGGAACTCAGCAGTGGGAGAAGCAAGATGCCAGAAGCAACATTTGCTGCTGAAGTGGATCCATGTGGGGCCAGGGAAGGAGTTTCTCCAGGACGTGCAGCAGCAATCCATGTGGAGTCAGGCAGCGCCGGGACAGGACCCCTGCTCCTGCAGCAAACCAGCACCAACCCCAGCCAGGAGCTGCCTTTAGTCCCAAGCAAAGCCCTTTTCCCAAGGCATGCGCGGGGCCAGCCTGCTCCTTGAGCCTGCAAGGGCAGCCGTGCGCGGCTGCCACCCGTGTCCTCACCCCGCGGGAGCCCGGCGGGGCAGGACGGCCAGGCACAGCCCCCCGCCTGCCCGGCAGCTCCGGGCAAATCCCTGCCTGTCCCCAGGGTGAATCCCACATGCCATGGGCAAGGCTGCAGAGAGGGAATGGTGGGAAAAGTCCCGGAAAGTCACTTGTCCGCAGCTCTAAGGAGCATTCCTGCAGTGGAGCGGCAGCGCTCTCAGCGCCTCCTTCGGAGCGCCACGGGACTGGCACATCAGCAGCTCCGGAATAAACCCTCAACAGCGACCCGGGGCAGGCAGCTGATTTCTGCCTGAAATAAATGGCTTTGCGGTAGTGCTTCCCCTCAGGGGAAACGTGTCCTGACAAGCTGCAGTTACTCGAATGCCCCGAGGGTTTGTGGAGCCTGGTTGCTTTGGAGAGTGTTTTACTGTCTGCTCCCAATGCCAAGAGCAGCTTTATACCAATAATAAACAAGGCAAAACATGAAGCCAGAGCAAACAGCTGATAAAAATCCACATTTTGCTGCCTGTGCTCGCTTTTGTGGCTCCGCAGCACAGGGCGGGTAAGGGCAGCAGGAAATCTTTGTGCTGCTGGCACTTGGCCTTCCCCCTGCGGGGTAAAACACTGCCCGGGGCTTCTGCTGCTGCCCCGTGCCGACTGCCAGGAAACATCGCTGGAGGAATGCACAAGGCATCCCTCGGACTCTGAATGTTCACCTCGGACTGTGCATGTTCATCTCGGACTGTGCATGTTCACCTCGTACTGTGCATGTTCACCTCGGACTGTGCATGTTCACCTCGGACTGTGAATGCTCTCAGACTGTGAATGTTCATCTCGGACTGTGAATGTTCTTCTCGGACTGTGCATGTTCATCTCGGACTGTGCATGTTCACCTCGGACTGTGAATGCTCTCAGACTGTGAATGATCATCTCGGACTGTGAATGCTCATCTCGGATTGTCAATGCACATCTCGGACTGTGAATGCTCTTCTCGGACTGTGAATGCTCATCAGCTCTCTGCTGTTGAAGCAGAGCTATGAGGCTGGGCACAGGCTGTCGTGCCCTGCCGAGGCTGCTGGAGGAGCGCACTCCTGAGACGGGCAGCAGCTGCCCCTCCTGGCCAGCCCGAGCTGCAGGCTGCTGCACAGCTCATCCATCGGGGCTGAGCTGCAGGCTGCTGCACAGCTCATCCATCGGGGCTGAGCTGCAGGCTGCTGCACAGCTCATCCATCCATCAGCAGCTCCAGGGAGCTCCAGCAGCAGCAGCAGCACCGCAGGAAGGAAGGCAGAGCCGAGGCGAGCGGAGAAGGAGCGGCCGGGGCAGAGCCTGGCAGGACACGGCGGGTGCGAGCTGCCTGCCGCGCACAGGCTGCCATCGCTGTCTGCTCTAAAATAGCATTTAACATGACAAGAGGTGTCGGATGGGCAAGAGCTGGCTCTCCCCAGCTCTTCCCTTGCCGAGAGCCTGTCTACGCTGCCATATGTCACTCTGCCGTATACTTCATCGTGCTTTATTTGTCATCCTCTAGCACATATGGTAACAGCTCCGCTGCCTGGCACTTGGAGAGGCTGGATTTAGCTCTGAATCAGGCACAAACAAACACTCACTTGGGGCAGTGCTCTTTGCTTCTCACCATCCCCACCTCCCCATGCTGCCTCGAGGAACAGGCAGGCAGCTGGGCTAGATCAGCACTGCAGATCAGCTTTTAACTGATGAAGCATTTTATCTCAGTATTTTATCCTATCCTAGTCCATTTCCTATTCTATTTTATTTTATTCGATTCAACTCTATTAGTGTTATTCTATTCCATTCCATTCTGCAGCCTCTACCATGGAAAGCAGGAAAGGTAGGAAAATAGCAGCCACAGCTCAGTTTGGGATTTACTTTAAGCCACCACAAAGAAGAACAACTATGGGGAAAAATAGTCATGGATGAAGGAACCAAAGGTGAGGGACTTTACATACTGGCCAGGCAGGGAGCTGACTCTGAAACCTGAATGGCCATGGTGGTGGCTGCTGTCCCTTCTCTTCAATGCCACTTCTGGGAAGCCAAGAGCACAATTCAACCGTTTCCCTTGGTGCAATCATGTTTACTTAAACAGAACACGCTGGTTCCTTTTACCTTGGGCACAGCAGGGACAAACATCACAGGAACATTGCTTGCCCATCAATTCTCAGCCTGACATTCCACATAGAGCTGTGGCTCCAGGGGACTCTGTCCCTGCTCACTCAGCAGGGCCACCCTCCAAAATCTTGCCCCTTTTGCCAGCACAGAGCAGGTCCCTGCCTGGGGCTGAGCACACCAGGGGCAGAGGCTGCAGCAGGGCAGGGCAGGGGCTTTGCTGACCACAACACAGGGATGTCCCAGCTGGCTGTGCTGGAACACCATTTTTCATAAGAAAGTATATAAGAAGTTGTCCATGTCCTCGGGAAAATTGTTTTATCGTGGGATGGTCTGAACCTTCTGCTTCTGTTCCCCAGATCAGGGAACTCTCACTGGACATGACTGGAAGCTCTCCATGGAGCCCACCGCACAATCCACTGTGCACCTGAAACCACAGCAATCACACCGAGTGACTTTGGCAGGCAGGTGTGTGCAGCCCCAAGGAAACTTTTTCTGTGCCCCTTGCAGAAATCTGGCACTTTCTGAAAGGGAAAAGAGTCTCCAGATCCTTATTCCTGAGGAGTGCTGTGGAGCGTCAGTAATAAGTCATTTTTGGCAGGCATATGTGAACAGCATCCAGGGAGGGAGAACTTCATCACAGCAGAGAAATCCTTCCAGCCTGCCTTTGGTATGACTCCAGCAAGCCTGAAATATCCCTGAGAGCTCTGCTCCTTCCCCTTCTCAGAGCTATCCTGACCCTGTCTTGGGTAAGGTACCAAATTTACATGTTCCCAGGCCACTGGTTTGCAGTGTTTCCTTATTTTTATACAGGGTTTTGCAATATATAGGGTTTGGATGGGCATAAAAATGGGCATTTGCTCAGGGAAAGGCTTCCCCAGTTAGAACAATTTCTGTCCCTCCCCATTAGGAAAGCAGGACCCTGTCACTGCCTGAAGGCAGGGTGCAAGTGAGCCCCACACAATGTGTTTTCACCCAGTAATTAATTACCTAGGGCTTCTCTAATTATCAGAGCTTCCACTGACAATTCCCAGAGGCCAATAGCAAATGCCAGATTCTGCCCCTCCAGCAGCTGCCTACAATCCCTTGCAGGGCAGTGCCTCCTGTTGCTGGGACAGGAAGCAGGACAGTGTCCCCAGTCTCCTGCTCCTGCAGGAGCATCACACACTCATCCCACAGCCCCACGGGCACTCTGGCTGCCCTGGACTGGGACCTGTGCAACGCTGCCCCGGCACACTGCACCCTGCCCTGACGGGGCTGAGATGGGGCTGGGTGAACCATGAGAACCAACAGCGATGTCTGGGCATTGCTGAGAGTGAAATCAGCCTCCCCAGGCCAGGCTGGTGGTCCAGGAGCTGTTCTGAGCAGGGCTGGGGGTTTGCTACAGCCCAAATTCCATTTTGTGCACTCCGGACAAATGCAGGGATGTTTTGGATTTGCACCTACTGGGGCCAGAGAACAGCTCAGCCAGCAGAAGTGTCCAGGCCAGCAGCAGTGGCTGTCAATGTCCTCCAGTCCCCAGGGCCAAGGAAAAACAGCCCAGGGTGGGAGCATGGCAACATCCAGCTCAGACAAACTCACCAGGGTGCACATGTGCAGCCGCGTGCCCAGTGCCCACCCCACCAGCCAGAGGGCACAAGGTCACTGGCCAGAGAGCCAGCAGGTCACCAGCCCTGGCCCTAGGGCTGCCAGTCAAGGTTATTGGTGACGCACCTGCCCAAAAAGCCAGCCTGGGAGGAACCATGCCAGCCGAGGAGGAGCCTTGGCACCTGAGCGAACATGGGAGGGGCAGGGGGGCACTGGACACTGTTGACCTTGGGAGTGCACAAAACACAGGAGGTACTTAAGTCCCTGCAGAGCCCCTTGAAACCTCTTCTGAGCTCCAAACCTCCACAGCTGAGGACACAGGCAGTGCTTTCCTTACCTTGTTGTCAGGGTATCGCTTTCAGCTGACTCTGGTGGAGCCGCTATGACCGAAACAACAGGTTACTCGGGGTGAGTAACAGGGGAACGCCTGCATTTGTTTTAATAAGAGAAGAAAGGTTTGGTTTAAGGCTCATTTATAAAACTAACCTGCATTGTTTGTTGCTTCCCATCTCTTACAGCAGGTGGAAAGGGATAGCAAGCTGGTCTCTGGCTGCCTGCAGCGTCTGCACTCAGCCTGCCAGGCAGTTATTTGGGACAAGCTGAAATCCTGGTTTGCTAAGAGCTTAGTAAACTGTCACATAGAAAATAGCACAGTACATCACCCCTGGACATTGCTGGCAAAACCCTATGAAGGAAAGAGCTAAGGTTGCCATTGACAAAATTGATACACACTGAGACATATTTTTTGCCAAATACATAAATATAATAACACACATGTCAAAGAGGTTACCTGAAGCAGCTGGTCCAAACACCACACACAGCTGGCTTGTCCCTTGTCCCTGTACCATCCCTTGTCCAACACCAGGGCTGTGTGTACTCTTGTGGAACTTCCAGGCTGCCCTGTGCCCACTACTGCCTGTCCCCCTCCCTGTGGGCACTGCCTGGTGCCCCAACCCATCTTCTCCTTGTCTCCCTGCAGGAGTGGGCTTGTCCTTGTTAGAAACCCACACCTGGACTTGATGGAGGAGGACGTCCTCTACCACTTGGACCTGGGAACCAAGACGCACAACCTGCCAGCAATGTTTGGGGACATAAAGGTAAAGAGCAGGTCCAAAAGCAAGGCAGCAGCTGCCCCCTGCACAGGCTCTCCAGCTGGGCATCCCATGGTGCTACCAGCCCGTGCCAGGGCCCCGCTGCTGCCAAAGCTCCCGCGGGGTGGGGTCTGGCTGCTCAGCTAAGGGACTCAGCAGCAAAGCAGTCTGGGCAAAGACGTTGTCTGTCCTGGTTTGTTTGGGCAGAAATTACAACAGAAAACCCTTTTAAAAACCTGTAGCTCTGTAAAACCCGATTTTGGCTCCATGTTGGAGGACAGAGGGGGCATTTGTCCAAAGCATCTTGATCATCATGTACTAGAGAAAAGGGAAAGAGGATGTCATCATTTTTGGCTGAGACCTGCTGTCAAAACTGACTTGTCACGATGGCATTCTCTTTCACGTCAAACCAGAGCCTTTCCCTACTCGTGTTGGGGAAGAGCCTCAGTGCCCAGGGCCAGAGCAGGCTGGCACAGCACAGGGTGGGCTCCTGCTGCCCTGCACCCTGGCAGCAGGATCAGCAGCATTGCCCTGGCAGCTGCACACTCATCCTCCTCCTACCTTCAGCAAGAATATTTTCCTTTAATATGTAAAATTTGTCCTTTTTACTCCCTGACTTTATGGCCTCTGTGTCATCAATAGTGCTCACTAATTGCAGTCAGCCTTGTACACAGAATAAATCAACCAATGAGCTTTTCCAACATCTGGGTTTGCTTTGCTATCTGTGGTGATTCTACTAGCTCAAATTTGCTGTTTTATTTTGGATTTTCTTGCCTAGGACTGATACCCAAGTGTATCTTGCTACCTAAGTGTATCTAGCTGTACCTATCATGTGCAGCTGTATGGCTGCCCAGACCCAGGGTACTCACCACCCTGCCAGTGACAGCCTGGGTTTCACGTTAGCTCCTGGTTTTGTGACCCTCAGTCGTTCCAACGTCCCTTGACTGATGATGATGATGATGAGGGGGAAGTGGCATCCCGCTGCTTTCTCTGGGACGATGTAGCTGGCACAGCCACCACCGCCACATTTGGGCTGACTCGTGGTCCTTGTTCCAGCTCGGTACCAAGGCTGATATTGTACTACTGTAAGTACCAACACACTGATATTTCCCCTGCAGTTTGTCTGCGTTGGCGGCAGCCCGAACAGGATGAGGGCATTTGCGCAGTTCATGCAGCGGGAGCTGGGCCTGGCGGGTGACGGGGAGGACGTGGCTGACATCTGTGCGGGGTCAGACCGCTACGCCATGTACCGGGCAGGGCCCGTGCTCTCCATCAGCGTGAGTTCCACACCGTGCTCCGGGGCCAGCCAGGGCTGCTGCTGCTGGTGCTGCTGCTGCTGGTGCTGCTGCTGGTGCTGCTGGTGCTGCTGGTGCTGCTGGTGCTGCTGCTGGTGCTGGTGCTGTGCTGGTGCTGCTGGTGCTGGTGCTGTGCTGCTGCTGCTGCTGGTGCTGTGCTGGTGCTGCTGCTGTGCTGGTGCTGCTGCTGGTGCTGGTGCTGCTGCTGGTGCTGCTGCTGGTGCTGCTGCTGCTGCTGCTGCTGCTGCTGCTGTGCTGGTGCTGTGCTGCTGCTGGTGCTGGTGCTGTGGGTCCCACAGCCACGGGGCCCGTCTGCCCCAGCCACCGGGGCTGGCACAGCCTCTCCCTCACACACCTTTGCCTCCCCCAGTGCCCACCAGCAGCTTTTTGCCTCTTTCCACTCCTCAGCCACTACCGGCACTCTCAGCCATGGCAGAGCCGCTTCTGCCTGAACAGCATTCCCCATCACCTGCGCTCTACGTTTGGAAAGTGCCACATTAACAACAGACATGCACATGTTCTGCTCAGCTCACTTTGGGAGGCAAAACCACTTCTCACCACACATGGACCATGAAACGTTGCTCGGAGTATCACATTGATACAAGCTCCAAAAGAAAAAAATGGCCTTATTATTGATTATTGTTTTAGAGCAGGATTTTTGTCACTGAACAAAGGAAAAAGCAAACACAGGCTGTGCTGGGGAGCACTCCCACCCAAAGGCTTGGTCCTGACACCATTTCTTCAGGCACAAGATTAGTCTGAAATGTGATTCACAGGAAATGGAATCACTCACACAACAGAGATCATGTTTTGTTCCTCTGACAAAACCAAACCAATCCTGACGAAGGAAATCAAGCCTGAGGGAATGAGTCTGAGGGGATCTAAGGGGGAGAATGGCCACAAGATTTGCTGTTCCCCAGGCTGGCAGCAGCAGTGACACAGCCAGAAGGAAATCCTCCCTGAGCTTGTGGCAGTGCACCAGCTTTGGCCAGTGCAGAAGGGGACACGGGGCAGAGCACATGGCCGCCCTGAGAAGCATCATGCAGAGCAGCTGCCAACATCAGGCTTCTGCAAGTTGCTTAGAAACACAACTGAGCTCAAACATACGGGGGCAGGAACACAGATTCCAGCTCTGAATATTTACAATGAGAATAAATTTTTTAGGCATTGGTGAATAAGCCAGGCTAATGTTCCAGAATAACAACATGTAAAAAGGTTTCATATTTAAAACACGACACAAGGCAAACAGAGCATTGGTCTCACAGACAAGAGAAAGGAGACAAAGCAACACAAAAACTGTTGTTTTTGTTGGCTGTGTACCTTAACCAATGGAGCTTCCATACATGCTTCCTTCAGGTTTTTGAAGATGACAGCAAAACCAAAAATGAAAATGAGGCATTTTCAAGATGAAAAACCAAACTCCACAGCACCAAACACTTTTTGTACTTAAAAGTTAAGCTAGGAAAAGGATGTTGGTCTAGCAGTGGAGCAGAAGGCAGATGACCAAGCAAGGGAGCACTGAGCAGATGTATCAGAAGCCCCAGCAGCTCCAGGCCTGCAGGACATCTGCCAGCAGCAGCAGAGGTGGGAGCAGGGCTGCATGGCCCGTGGAGGATGGGAACAAGCCAGTGCCAGCAGTGGGGAGCCAGTAGCCAGGCAGGTGTTGGCAACAGAAGGGCAGCAGGGCAGGGAATTTGAGCCAGGAAGAGGGACAAGCAGTCTGCAAGGCACACAGCAAATACCTGACCCTGAAGCCTGTCCTCACCGAGGGACACAAACCCTTCCATTGTTCTTTGTGCCCAGCAACGTAGCAGAGATGGCTCCATCATGGGGTGAGGACAGGCTGGAAGGCACATGGAGAAGTGAAGGCTCAGGTTGTCCTCATTGAAATTCACCACTTCCAGAGCATGAGCAGGACACAACAAAGTGCGAGTCAGCATGTGGTGTAAGGATTGGCAGTGCATGGGGAAGGTCTTGGAGCATTCAGATGTTGGGATGTATTTGTGGACCTTCCTTGAAGGACAGGCACCATCTGTGTGTCCACACGGGGTCCCTGGGGATGAACACCAGCTCTACTGACCTGAGGAGCCTTCAATGCATCAAAGGGAGGAAAAGAGGTTAAAAAGACCCCAAGATGTCTCTTCCCTCTCAAAAAAATTGCTATTGGCATCACCAGCATAACCCTGAGCTCGTTGCAGCCATGTACCTGTCACCTGCTGCAGCCTTCTGGGGACTGATGTTTCTCTTTTCTCTCCTTCCAACAGCATGGAATGGGCATCCCTTCCATTTCCATTATGCTTCATGAGCTGATCAAACTGCTGCACCATGCAAAATGCCGGGATGTTACTATTATACGCATCGGTACTTCTGGGGGCTTAGGTAAGCGATTCATGGTCTTTCTTCAGAACAGAACAGCTATTGTTAAAAAGAACTCTCAGAAATAGGTCCTGCAGTTCTGAACTGCAGCATTTTATCAGGTCTCTAAATATCAAACACGGTATTTTGATTCTGGTTAAACCTAGAAAACTTGTAGTGAGTGGCTTGGCAAAGTGCACATTCTCAGAGTGTACAAAGGCCTTGACTCCACTACAGCCATGTGTCACTTTCCAAACAGAAAGCATGGGTTAGTGGTGGCCCAAATGAATCCGTGTCCTCTAGCTGAGGCAGTGGTGCTGCCCACACCTGCACAAGTTGGTAGGGGGTACACGATCTCTGCAGGCCAGAAGCAGCTAAACTCCTGTCACTCAGCACATTCTCACAATCCCTTATCTTGTGCTGATTCTGTACATTTTACTTCTACATCTGTACTTCATGAATTTCACTTATTCTCTGATATCTTTACTCACTGAAGAGCCCCACAAGCACACACAGATCTCTTGGATTTTCCTATTGTGCTGAAGTTCAGCAGCAGGACACAGGTGTTATGAGCTCTTCCATTTCCACAGGGATCGAGGCCGGGTCTGTTGTGATCACTGACACGGCCGTGGACTCCTCCTTCCAGCCACGCTTTGAGCAGGTGGTGCTGGACGATGTGGTGGTGCGGAGCACCGAGCTGGACAAGGACCTTGCGGAGGAACTACTCGCCTGCAGCAGGGACATTCCCGACTTCCCCACGCTCATCGGCCATACCATGTGCACCTACGACTTCTACGAAGGTAAAACCAGCTTTGTCCTTCCCCACCACGTCATGCCATTTCCCTCTTCCTTGGACAAAGCTATCCAGGGAACCCAGGCCCCAGGAGCACTGCAGGCAGAGAGCCACGTGGGGCTGGGGGCCCAGGCAGAGCAGGGGTACCCTCAGAACACACAGTACCACACAGTACCTCTGTTGGCACCTTGCTGAGTTTGCTGCCAAGCTGCTCCCCTACAGCAAGATGTCACTTCAGAACTACCAAACACTAGGAAAACATTAGGTTGCCTGTGAGATTTCCATAAACAAACTTTGGTTACTCTGGAACCGTTTCCTTTGCAAAATTAAATGTTGATTGCAGAGTAGATGAAACGTAATAAATGAAGAATTAATAATCTGAGCACTATTTATAAACCTTTAGATCTGCTTGTAGATGCAGCCATCTGTGTATTGCTCAAGTCCGTATTTTATTTAAACAAAAAGCCATTTGAGAGGATTAAAGCAGGCACAGCAATAAACTGAAGGGCAGTCCCAGGCTGGCCCAGCCACAGGTGAGCATTTCCTGCCCCACGGCATTCAGCCACTGCGAGAGGAGGAGCTGCGTGGGGCAGGACAGCCAGAGCCCCCGAGGGGTGAGAGGAGAGGGTTGGGGTGCCTGCCCCCACTGAACCCTGCGTTAGTCCTGCCTGCAGCGGTACCTGCAGCTGCACTGGGGCAGCACCAGTGCCCCGGGACCAGCTCCCCAACCAGCACCAGTGCTGCCCGCACCAGGAATGCCTCTGCAAGCAGCTCCAGCTTCCACCCACAGCAGCCCCTGCAGAAAAATTAAACCCACATTAAAGGGGTTTCTTCTCTTCAGTGTTCCCATTTGGCACAGCTTGTTGTACCTCTTCCACAGTCAGCTGGCATTTTTGAGATTTAACCTGGCAGGCCTTCCCAGCGGCTGTGCAGCAATGGCCTGTCCCTCAGAGCACAGCATCCCCCGGTACCTCCCAGCTGTGGGCTGACTCGACCTTCTACCAGTGTTGAAACCTGCAGCATTCTCTCCCCTACACAGAGATGCATCGCGCTGGCTTTAGCACTGAGGGGAATACAAATTAACCAGCTGCTCATAGGAAAACTGTGTGGGCCTCAGACAGAATGTGGGCACTGCTGGACTTCCCATTTGCACTTAGGCCCTGTGTCCCATGACCCCATGCACGGCCAACAGTGATGGTTCTCTGCTTCCTTTCCAGGTCAGGGAAGATTAGATGGTGCATTATGCTCTTTTTCCAGTGAAAAAAAGTTGGAGTACTTAAGGAGGGCTTATGACGCTGGCGTGAGGAATATTGAGATGGAGTCTGCAGCATTCGCTGCCCTGTGTGGACTGTGTGGCCTCAAAGGTGAGTCCTGTCACTTCCACCTCCTCCCCACGCCCGGGCTTAACCCCCTCTAAGGGTCCTGTTCAGTGACAGAAAGCCAAACACACATCCTTAATTACTTTACCTAGAAAAGGACGCTAAAGCAAACTTCATAGCTCAATAAAAGCCAAGCATTAGAAGACCTGAGTGCCTGCTGGACAAACGCACAGCTTGCTCCCCTCACACCCGTCCTGGTCCTACAGCAGGTCCCGGCCGTGTGCCGCAGTCCCCGGGGGTTTGAGGAGCAGAGCCCGGGGCGGCGGAGCCGCGGTGCCCGGCTCCGGCCGGGAGGGCCGGGCAGGAGAGCCGGGAGGGCAGGGCAGGAGGGCCGGGCAGGAGAGCCGGGCCGTGAGGGCCGGGCAGGAAGGCAGGGAGGGGCCGGGCAGGAGGGCCGGGAGGGCCGGCGGGGGAGCCGGGCCGTGAG